ACAGGACATCTCGTAGAGATTTCTAAGTCCTTTAGAATATTAAATAGACAAAGGACAGCAAATTTACTACGATTTGCCGAAGCGATCGCAATCAAACGATTTAAACCAGACTTATGCATACAGAAAGAGAGTGTGATTAACCTCTCACTCCCTTGGTAACTGAATTTTGATTAGTCATCTAACTCAGTGATCTCAACTCACTGAGCAAATCTCAATCTTATAAACTGTAATTGCTTTTGTTTTTTGGAGTTGCCATGTGAACCTACAAGCAAACACTGTTTCTGTTAGTCAATTTTTCTGTTTTCTGTCTTACCCCTCCCCCCTCTTTTCAACTCTGAAAGTGTATAAATTGATGATGATAACTTCAACTAAAAATTGTAATGCTTTCATTCTTTTTTGGATGCGTCAATTTTATCTCTTCTCTACTACTACTCAAACATTAAAGTATGTTATTATCATTTATATAACCATTGTAATTTCAGGTAGTCTGCAGCTGATGAGAACCTGTGAAATAGAATGATATCATTTTATACTGCAAATTTCGTCTTCCTTTCTTTATCGAGACGTAATAATTGCTAGCAAGTCGGAAGAGGAACATAAGAAACATCTTAGCACTTTGTTCCAGCGTTTCGAACAGTATGGTGTCGCTATAAATCCTAAGAAGTGCATTTTCGGTGCCTCTTCCATTCAATGCCTAGGACACTACATAACTGCCGAGGGAATCAGGCCTACTGAGGAAAAGATAGATACAATCAAAAACTTCCCCCAACCAGACTCTTTGAAGAAAGTCCGACAATTTTTGGGGATGTTTAATTTCTATTGACGTTTTATTCCTTCTATCGTCCAACCTTTAACCGATCTCCTTAAAAGTGATCCTAAAAAATTTCAATGGTCAGAGCAAGCACACGAATCTTTCTGCAACGCTAAAGACGCTTTATCTTAAGTCGCTATGTTGTCTCACATCAACCCCGAAGCATCCCTTATCTTGTGCACAGATGCCTCCCAAGTAGCTGTGGGCGCGGTGTTACAGCAGAAGATTAATGGTGACGTTACCCCCACTTGCTTTCTTTTCGAAGAAGTCAGAACCGGCTCAGACACGTTACAGTACTTTTGGCACAGAACTGTTAGCTATCTATCTAGCAGTGAAACATTTCAGCTTCTTATTACAAGGTCGACATTTTACTATCTTAACCGACCATAAGCCTCTTTGTTATGCTTTTAGCACTTCGTTGGACAAACACTCCTCGAGAGAAGCCAGACAACTGGATTATATATCACGATTCTCGACAGACATCCAGTTTATCAAAGGAGATTCCAATATTGTAGCCGATTCTTTGTCTCGATGTGATGTTAACCAGCTTCTATCTTCGATAGACATTAGCTTAGACAATATCACCAAGTTGCAGAAAAGTGACGCCGAACTTCATAATTGTAGACGATAGTCCTCCCTACAGTTGCAGGATATACCTATTCCTCTGTCTGATACAACTATCATCTGCGACGTTTCTACCGGCGTTCATCGACCTTTTGTTCCACAAAGTTGTCGAAAACCTTTATTTGAACATCTACATTCTCTGTCTCATCCTGGAGTACGTGCTACGGTTAAGTTAATCAGTGAGCGTTTCGTTTGGCCAAAAATGAACTCCGATATTCGGAGATCGGCACTCCAATGCTTGCAATGTCAAAAGTCCAAGGTACATCATCACACCGTCACAACTCCAAAGCAGTTCAATTTACCAGATAAACGATTTCAACATGTGCACATAGATATTGTTGGACCATTACCACCATCCAGAGGTTTTACACATATCCTTACAGCTATCGATCGATTCACTCGATGGGCTATTGCTTGTCCACTCAACGACATATCTGCAGAAAATACCGCTTTGGTTTTCCTAGATCGTTGGGTGTCAAACTATGGAGTACCAACAACGATTACCACAGACCGAGGAGCTCAATTTCAACCAACTCCGTTTCGAGGGCTAACGAGACTCCTTGGAATGAACCACATCTCCACTACAGCTTATCATCCTGCAGCGAATGGTCTGGTGGAACGTTTCCATCGACAACTGAAAAGCTCTTTGATGGCACAAGCTGACTCATCTAAGTGGAGTGAACACCTACCATTAGTTCTCCTCAGTACCCGGTCAACTGTCAAAGAAGACTTGGGATGTACACCTGCTCAACTCGTGTATGGTACTACCCTCACATTGCCTGGTCAGTTAGTTCTTTCCAATGATTCAACTGATGTAAATATCTCTGATTTTACCAATCGTCTTACTCAGCAAATGCTTCATCTTCGACCAGTAGCCCCTCGCCAATCATTTCACAAAGCTCAAGTTAACAAGAATCTACTTACTTGCAAATTTGTATTTGTTCGCGTCGATGCCATTAGGAAAGGCTTACAACATCCATATGAAGGTCCTTTTCCAGTACTCAAGCGCACTGACAAATACTTCACACTGAACAAAAATGGTAAGCAGGAAACTGTTTCTGTTGACCGTCTGAAACCAGCGTACATGGACAGTGAATATGAAGCAATAGCAACGCCTGTACCGATAAATAATGAGAAAATCAATGCAACTCCTACACTTCCGCTCTTCACACTTCCCCCTGTTCAGACACGCAGTGGTCGGCAGATCTGTAAACCTGCCCGCTATGTTCATTTCATTGACTGACATAACAAGTACGTTAACCTTTATTTAGACATTCTCCTCAGTATTATTGTTGTTGACATTCCTTTCACTATAAACATAGACATTTATTAATATTATTACCACTAATGGTTTGTAGTTTATTAACTGTACTGCAAGCATATGCATTCACCAAGGATATGTATATATCTCCTTATATTTGGATTTCTCAGAGGCTAACGACCACCTCATTGTTTATTATGTGCATAAATTTTTATTTAAAGTTATAACAAGTTTTGATTTCCTCTAATTCCTGAATTATGCTTGCATGTGCTAATCTTTCTTTGACACGGATGCATTCCATACATTTTGATGTTACTTTGTATCCTTATTATTGTTACTGTTATTTTTTGTTATCATTACTGTTAACATTATCAATTATTTATACTGCATATATTCATGTAATCATTCACCCTGACAGTCGCGAATAATCTACACCTTCCATTTCCTACCCTTCTTTCATTGTTTTGTTTGATTAACTCTTTTTATGATGTTTAATGTTTTTATAGATACTTCTTGCTTAATTTTTTTTTCGCCACGGTGCTGGCTTTTTAATGTATACAGTCTATGTTCACATGAGTTGGATGACTAGTTTATCAGGAATATATTTGCAAACGTTGTATGTCGTTGTAGTTATATGTATAAAAACATTTTTGTTTACATGCATATGTCTTTCATTCTATAATCATAGTATTTATATATATATATATATATATATATATGTATTCGAGTGTAAGGTATATCTACAGGATTTGACTAGTTCCAATGCATCCTATTTATATGTAGTAATGGTTTTCACTACTACATTCATTAAGTGAAAACCTTTAAAATGGAGAGAAAAGATGGGAATATTTTTTTCTGTATTTAATAGTACAAATAAAAGGCAAAACTAATACTTATCAGTGTATTATGGGAAATGATTGTGTTTGTAAGCTTATCTATTTATCATAAAAGTGGTATGCAAATATACATACTAAGTAGGAAATCTAATGACATTGGACATCTCGAGCACCTTTATTTATTTATTTATTTGACGTAGTATATAACATTGACTTGAATGACTCATATCATGTCTGTCTAGAACATTAATTAATAACCAATCACAGGCCAGAGTTAAGCAGCCTAAATTTGAATTTAGCTACAGGCGTGTGAATCTTCATTCTTGTTATGAAGGTTCAAACATCCAACAACATTTGATTTCATCTATCATCTGTCAATATGTGGTATGAATACTGACTGACCGGAATAGAACAGTAAAATATTCAGTGTCAAATATTTTTATTCTAGTGGTGTAATATCTCATAAGTTATTTACTGCTCATGATACACATTCTATAACAGACAGATCATGTTTCAAATTCATAACTGCTATCATCCCAAAATGGGTGCTATTATATACCACTTATCATGTACTGCTGACATTTACATGTCACAAACTCGCTTCACTAGGTGGTTTTAGTTTCTAACCTTAAAAATTGATAACCAGCATGTTAAATATATACATGTCACCCTGGTAACTAAACTTGTCATAGCTATCAGACATGCATTTGGCATTAGCATCGCTATGCTGAGGGATTTCCTGTCGCTCACCAAGTGTATAACCAATCAGGTGTCGGTATCGTGGATAGGTGCTTTCCTTCCTAATTAAATGGAAACCTGATTGATTACTCATTTAGTTGCTGAGATATCCTTTAAAATCACTCAGAAATAGGAGGCAAGCACATATCTCTCTTTTTATTTGCAAATATTCATTCGCAGGGTGTTGAGTGATTTCAAGTTAGGTTACGAATCGACATCATTTAGAGAATTACTGAAAAGTTAGTGAGTACTAGAAAGATATTTTGCCCTAGCTGGCGACTCTTCACAGGATGCACTCTGTGATCGTTTGGTTATAAGGCAATCCTGTTGACCATTCCACCAGTTGAAGAGAACTCAGTGGTCCATGAGTTATAACTTGTGCTAATTCGTGACATACAGAACCAGCACCAGCCAATGTCATCGGTGAGCACCTGACCCTGCAGTCAACTTCTGTCACGATTTCTCACTAGAACTCTGGGAAACTTCATCCTGTATGAATCACTAGTGAGCATTAGATTAATTTTCAAGTTCTATCATTTTATTCGCCTAAGTTCACCAATTAATTAGAAGTTATGTAATGACTCATCGCCTTTAATTTTCTATATGAAAAGTAATCAAAATGATTAGCATAAAGCATCATATTTTACATATTCTCTTCATGCTGTAATTGAAGTTATTAATTGAGATTTGGTTAATAGATTAAGTGTTTTTAACATTTTTGCATTTTTAGCTATCAATGGGAAATCTGTAAACTATAGTCCACAGAACACATCAACTTCACTATCTAGTACAAATGGAACATTAAATAAAGCTCAATCCAAAGACAGTATTACTGCTTATTCAAATTGTCTTCCTATGTCTAATTCAGATCAAAACGATGATCAATTTTTATATAATCAAATTCAAGATGATATCCTCATTAAAATATTGAATAAAATACAACAGTTAACGGCTAAACTTGATGCTGATGCTAATCCACCAGAGGTAATCCAAAATTGTCGTGCAATTCAAGCCTGTTTAGATACAATTAATGCAATAAAAAGAGTAAAATCAAATCGATCCGATGATGAGTGTAGTAGATCAGAAGTATCATTAGCCTCATACAATTCACATTTTACACATCATTTAAATTCACTAAGTACTAATTATTCTATACAACAGCACAATGGATTCTCATCATCATCATTATCACCACCACCACCACCACAACAACAACAGCCCAGTGTTATTCAACCTTTATAAAAAATTTATTTTTCTATTTATACTACGGTTTTCGTTAGTAGCAGTATTTGTATCATTAATTTTATTTCCCAAAAATACCATGTACGTTCGGTTTTTAAAAATAATAATAATAATATTTACGGATTCTGATTATTTTCATGGATTTTGTTTTACTTGCTATGTGTGTAATCTTAAGTATGTAGAGCCGTTATTGATGTTTACACAAATAAGCAAGCACTATTCAGTTTTCTTTTCATTATTCCATATTACCATTTCGTATTTAAATGCTGCATTAAACAAAAAAATTAAATAGAATTCTATGAAACAATGCTCTCAATATCATACATACATATATATATTAATGGAAACCGGTGAAGTTTTAAATTGTATGAAGTTAACAGTATTTCTCTCTAATCCCTTTATAACGTGTGAATTATAGTCGACAAATGGTGTTGTTATCTTTGTCTTTGTTTGTCTAATGACAAAAAGTGATTTTCATGCTTAGTTTTGTTTCTTGCTTAGTAATAATACAATGCGTATCATTTTATTTTTTATAGTTTTTTAAAATGAATTTATATTTTTCTTCGTATTGTTTTGATATTTACATTTTGATTAGTATTTTCTGTGAATTTTAATCTTTTCATAATAAACCAGTATACATCTATACTTACATATACATATATTGGCTTAATTATTTTTCCCTCCTCACATTTCGAGTAGAATATGTATGAATGGTTTCAAGTGGTTAAGTTTCAGTTGTACTGTTGTTGGGTTATGTTTGCTGGGTGAGGAGGTTGCCAGCCTACTACCCTCTTCTCCAGCTTTACCATTATAGCTAGATGAGGTTTTTGAGTGCGTGGAGGTGCAGTTGGAACTCGAGGTACTCTATCTCTGATGAGCATGCTATCATTGAACTACTGCCTCATTGTACGCATTTCACCCTATTCGCGAACCGTCATCTGGATATATCCACAATCAAAAGTGTGTCATCACATCGCAAATCAAAAGCCCTAACCTTTTGAATTCCAATTTTTCTCCAAAAATATAAACAGCTAAATGTACCAAAAGTTTAGTTTAGAATTTTGAACAGTTGTACGTTGTGATTTATGATAGTAACAGGAAACGATTTCATTTCATTATTGTCTAGTAGGTTCAACAAAATGATCATAGTAAATGTGTTCTAGGATGTATTAATAAATTGTCTAAAGGAATGAAACGACATCAGATAAATAATACGAACTATACTCGTCATAGAGGTATTAATATTGATAAATATATTAAGAGTGACTACTGAGACTATATGAGATATATTCAGATTAGTGAAGTCATATAATACATATGGTTTGTGAGGATTGAAAAAGGATATAGCACGCGACACTACAGGATTATAACCCTCAGATTACCATCTGAGTTCGGATGCCTCTTAGACCGTACACTTACAAGAGAAAAGTCAAAGTTTGTGGCTCTTCGAGGTTTCAGTTGCGCTTCAATTACCACACTTTACCAATGAAGACTAACTGGTCAATTCAAAGATCAGTAGAATAATAAAAGTGATGAAAAATCATCTTCGAAGTGAAAGTTGAAACTATGGATTTACTGTACATCAGACTCGAAGTTTAATTACTTAAATGTAAAAAGCTTTAAAAAGTGACAAGCAAATGGTCTCATTCAGTACTGGACTTATACATGACTAAGTTTTCTGCTCTTGGTCTTACCTGCAATGAGATACATGTGAACACTGTTAAGAATGTCCATTGTTCAAGAAGGCTGCTTATCTCGACTATCAACTTTTCATGCTAATTTGTTAATCCGAATTAGAGCATGTGATCCTGCTAAGATGAGGATTTGCGTAATTTAGTTCAGGCCGGGGTTCATAAATCCGAGCCAGTCACATCACTAATGCTCTTGACTAACACTAGGTAGCGCAAACTAAAGGAAGTGAAGACTTCGGTGGAAAAGTACGCTGGTCAATAGTGGGAAGTGACAAATTTATTACCACAGAAAAGGTTATTACTTGATTTAAATGTTTTTCCAACATAATTTCCTATCCACATAGATTCATGGGTTTCCATACATTATAAATCCACTATGAAAGGCTAGTATATGCTGATGAGACGAAATCCAATCATTGATTTGGCCTTCTCTTAATTAAATGGTGTAAGATCGCTTCCGAATGGTTATAACATGTCCCAACAAATACAGTGCAATGTGCATATTTTCAAAATTAAGAAACTGAAAGTAACCCCTAACAAGGACACTTAGATTGTTGAATTAGTGCTAGATTTTGCTGACCGACAATCCTTTTCCGAAATCCATGAACACCATATTTCATATTGTGTATGGAATGACGACGACTCGAAGTATAAATAATATTTACTTTCTTAATATAGAGGACTTCCCATTTTAAAATGTCTCTTTCGTTTCAGCTTGAAAAGATAAACCATGTTATTTGGATTCTTTTATTTACAGTATCTTGAAGCAGCGTGGAGTTGATGATATAAATGGAGTTGCTTTATGTAGTGAATCTGATGTGTGTTAGCGGTCTACTTAATTGTTAGAAGAAGTATAGTATTAGAACGAAGCGCTTTATGGGTAACCGCGAGAGGATATATGAGAGAAATAATCGGTTCCTACTTCAACGTACTTAACGTTACGTAGTTGTCTATAATTAAGATTCGTACTCAATGATGGATAAACAAAATTTAATGCTACATTTCTGACAACTAACATTTGGAAATTAGGCTCTTACTACTACGAAACACAAGCTTCCATGTACACCAAGGTGCAGTGAATCACTCTTATGACTGAATAAGAAAGATGTAATAGTTCACCCAGGAAAAAGTACATGTGAAGTCAAAACAAAAAGGAACGTTTCAAGTGCTCAGTTTGTAGTGGCATGACACTTAAACTGAAGGGTTTCAGATTGGGACGAAACGTCTCAGTACTCCCTGGTCTTCAATTGACGATCGTTTATAAGGTAGTATACCCTGAAATAATAGCACCCCTACAACTTCTTCTCGTTTCCCACTGTCTGATGCATAGTCCAGTCCACCACAATTAGGAATATCATTGGTGATAATAAGCACCCTTGTCTGAATCCTGTGTTTACTTCAAACACCTTGCTGGGTTTTCCGTTGTGGATCAATTGACATGTGCCGTTGTCATACAGCTGTTGAATAAGTACTCGAGTAGTTTTCAAATTACTTCGCGGTCAACGCTGTCGAAGGCCTTCTCAAAGTCTATAAAGTTGGGGTAGAGGTTTGATTGCCATTCCATGCTTTGTTCGATGATGATGCGTAGAGTTGCAATTCGGTCAGAACATGATTTGCCTTTGCTGAATCCAGCTTGTTCTGGTCGGAATTCTGCATCAAGTGCGTCCTCTATTCTCTCCAGGATGATGTGACTCAGAATTTTACTTGGCGTCGACAGGAGCATAATTCCTCGCCAGTTCTTGCAGAGTCCTAAGTTGCCTATAGCAATACTGTCATCCAACCAATAAATCAAAGGTCCTAAAGGAAATCCAAGTATTCAAGCGCCACAAAAAGCTTAACAGACAGTTTCTCTATAAACTTACAGGAGACTGAGAGTAACCAATCAATACATAGTGAGACTAACATTACCGCTACATTTAAGGAAGGCTTACATAAGGCCTTTCAAAATCTGAGCTCCGAAAGTCTACATTTATCAAGTAAGAAGTCAATAGCACCTTAGTAAAATGCCTCATTTTACAGAACGGTAAACGGTTCGTCAATAACTGTGTGGATTTTCACTAAGATGTGATATACCAAAGTAGATACAGCAAACTGATGAAGCTATTATAAAAATTTCTCATCGTTAAGTTAATGAGGACTACTTCAATGTAGCAAAGGATGGTATCTTCAGTTCTCGGAACTATTTAGACGAATCGCCTATATCTATATATGATAGAGAGGTGTATAGATGGAATCCTTTATTACAGAAACGTTAGAAACAGAGGTCTCTTCACAGTCGAAAGTTACTCAAGCGAGAATGGTACTACATTGTTGATTCTATCAGTCTGTCTATCTAAGACAAAAAACTTTAGGTAACCCTTAGTAAGAATTTTCTGGAACAACGAAATGAAGTGAATGACTTTATTTTGAAAAAATATATGAAGAAAAATCTTTGGTTATTCTCCGTTACAGCAAATTTAGTAAACGGATCACATAGTAAAGTAGTCATGAACAGTTAATTGAATTAATTAAAACAAACTAAATTGGTTACATATCAGCCTGAATTGAACGAAAGCTTAAAGGGTAACGACGACGACGACGAGAAATATAAGGTGAGGCATTCTCGACATCATTTTTGTCTACGCTTTTGGTATTCTCCTTTTCATCGTCGTTATCATTACTGTTACGTTGCTCCAACTCAAGATCCCAAAAACCTGTTGGCGTTGATGGAGGTCTGTCATTGAATGACCTTCCAGCTCTTACTTTATCATCCTACATTAAATTAATCATAGAAAATACAAAAGCAATTCAACACGATTGCAAAAGCATATCTCAACAAATATGTAGAAAGCCAAATAAAGCTTAGCATCATCCATTAAATTTCTCAGTGAAAATATGAATTTGTGTTGAATACTAACTGATTTTATTAAAAAAATTAAAGATAATCTAGGGAAATTTCTTAGGATCTAATAATGAAATCATGAAAATAATCAAAAGATGCTTGACATGTGTTATATTAATGTTAAATTAGAGAAAGTATAAAACCTATTGAACTCCTCAAGACGGTCGCAAATCAATGGAAGTTAAATACCTTCGTTATCTCACTTCCTATTTATGAATGAATTAATTGTAATGCTTTTGTCTGATGAAATGATACCTCGCAGTAATTAGGAGGATACTTTAACACCAGTGAACGATGAATTGAAGACCATTTTGGAACATACAACGATCATCAGTCTTTGTTTGTACAATTTCCACGATTATGAGTAGAAATTTTAAAAAAGCCATCAAATCGGCATTGTTAGCATGGGTGAATCTGATGCAACATCGTTAATTGGACACTCTGAAACACATAATTAAGCTCTACATATGACAAGGACATTATTTCTTATTTTGTTGACGAGAAACATCTTGGCTTCGTATACACCTCTTGAGTTTAGCTATAGAGCAGTAACGTCTACTTTGTGCCGCTCCAGCGGCTTCAATAACTGCTAATTTCGCCAGCCAAATTATGGATGAGACTTATACTGCAGGGGAAAATAGTAAATCTTAGCAACAAATCCCCCTTTTAAAATGCAATGACTCATATTTCTATCTTCCTCAAGTATTTTAAATTTTTCAAAATCATATCAGTAGGCCGACGATTATGTAGACTAATTGCCAGAAGGCGTTTACTGAATAGATTATTAAAATTTGTGATTTCAAGTAAGTATGCAACCTTTATTACCACTGAATTAACAGCCAATTATGTTAAGCACAAACTATATTATAATCAACTCCTCCAAAATATTCTGGATGTTTCATCATTTGGGGTTATTAAACATTTCATCAAATTTCTACGGAACAATTTAATAGGTACTTATTCATTTCCAGGCAGAAAATGTGTGGAAAAGAGAATTATCTAACCTTTAAGTGAGCTTCCTTTCGGTGCCGGTATAGAGAAGTTCTACATTTGTACACACGATTGCAATGATCACAAGGATAAATAT